AAAAAGCAACGAAAACCAATATTAATAATAAATTTTACTTTATGTATGAAATTTCCAATACCTGTAAGATGGAACGGGGTACCCTTGAGCGGGACAAAATAAACTCATATCTTGACCCAATACTCTGTCGAAATAAGCTTTCTTCACATCGTTAGAGAACTTCGGCGACTTTGCAGTAACTGGCTCTGATTTAGAGGAAAAGTGAGCGAGATATTAAAATAAGGTAAGATGATTTTACGTTAATATGAGAGCTTTTCAATTGTAGATATTAAAAAAATTAAGTGTAATTAAAATTTTCTTTTTGGAAGAACTTCTCGTTTAGAGTCAATAATTAATGTATTGTAAATTACAATAAATGCCAAACTAATTGAATTAATTTCCAGAACATGGTAACAGGATGGTAAATAAATTAATGTACTGAAAAAAGAGTGATGGAATATTTTAGAACATTATCATTCAAAAACTATCGTCCTGACGTAAGTCAGCAATTAATTAATAACACTTTTTAATTTGTAACGGGTTTTTTAATTCATCAATGATAAACCTAACATCTACCTTACCAATTCGCACTACAAAAAAATTACTGAATATTAGAAGGGGATTCGCCAAGACAAGAACAAGGACGATTTTGTTTGCATATATATTCTTTTTTCCTTCTTCTCGCGGTCCCGGCACGGAGAATTGTGTCAGCCTTCAGAACGGTGTCTACTTGCGCTGTTCTGGTACTCGCTGGATTACCGCCAATGGATTTATTGACGATGGAAAGAAAGGAGATCTTCCATCTTAACAAATATCTGGCAGTTACTTTAAAGCATAGCGATAGACTCAAAGCGATAATACGCAGGGAGTCCAGAAGTAGACTCGTTCAGAAATGGCAGGAGAGATGAGATGGGGAGTCTAAAGGTAGGTGGACCTGCCGCCTGATTCCTCTCCTCGCAACATGGTTAGATAGGAAACACAGTGAAGTTGGCTACTACCTTACACAAGCGTTGTCAGGTCATGGTTGTTTCGGACAGTATTTTTATCGATTTAAAATAGAAGCAGAGGCGAAATGTGTGAATTGCAACGGTTCGGGTGTCGACGAAGCAATACACACTGACGACGCGGAGCACACGCTCTTTTTCTGCGGGCACTGGCGTAAAAACTCAGGCAAGCCATGTTCTCGGCTGTGGGCACTGAAGTCACATCTGAGAACATGGTTCCTATTATGTTGCAGAGCGCGGACTCTTGGAGGAGCGTCGAGTCCTGCATTACAACTGTAATGAGGACGAAGGAGGACGACAGGAGGAGGTTAACACGGAGAAATCCTGCTGCTCGGCTGGGTGCACGCGCGGGATGGGGGAGACCTAAACTGGCTCTCCTTCTTTTGGCGCTAGCACTCAGTTAAGAATTTAGGACCGAGAGCAACGGTAAGAAGACTTCAACTGGCGATGTATAAAGCTAATAGCAGTTCCGCCAGTGGAGTTAAAGTCTCAAAAAGGGTGTGGTTTTTAGTGGGTCGACCAGAACAAGTGCGGACATCCCCACATAAACTGAGAGTACGGGCTCCAGGTATTTGACTTGGAAGTAGGCCTCCAGGGTTATGCAGATTTTCCACTTCCCTCGTAAAAAAAAATTGTTAAAGATAACTCTGTAGTTATTGGTCCTCGAGACTGTTCGATTTATTAAATAAATTACTAAAAAATCACGTTTTATTTTTTGGGATTACTCCACCCATTCTGGCATCAAACGTTTCATACTCAAATTTTATTTTTTATTAATTTTTTTGTCGACTAGTGCCCACGGTTTTATTAATTAAATAAAGTGTAATTAAATTTAGATCCTTTACGGTTTCAATCTGACAACGTTAGTTGAGTACAAATTTTAACGAAATTTTACTAAATAAAATAATTCTCTGTCTCAATATACAACATAAGCATATAGATAAGAAAAGAAAAGAAATACCTGCTTATAGCCATTGGATAGGCTTGTGCGTTACAATGTAGGTTTATATCTGTGCTTAGTCTCCTGACCATTAGTGAAAGTTTTGTATCAGCATCAAGAGTAGGTGCTTTACTTCCGACAGGTTCTTTACAAAATTTAAAAAATATTGACTTTATAATATTACTAAAATTTACACTTTTCAATAGTCATCGATGCATGAATTAATTGAGACAGGGAACTGAACAAATGAGGAAAAAAGAATTTAAGTTAATGATAAAACATGCATTTACAATTCATTTAATTATTATTCTTAATGGATTAATCTGTTATTCCCAAAATTTAGTTTTTGTAAAATAAAAGACTAATGCTATTTTTTACATGTTGTATCATTTTGAGGAGCTCTTCATTAAATGTAGATAACATTTTTTAAAAATAATAAATAAAAATTGTTTAAATTGTAGTAATGTTGATTGAGTAATTTTCTCCACTCTGATATTCCAATAATAGAATGTGGCTATTTTAAGTGCAGATAGACAAGTTTTAATTGAATCAAAATTATTTGTTCAAAATTGATTAAATATAATGTTCTCTAATGGGGGGGTGATTTAATTTTACCTTTATTGCTAATTGTAGGAAATTCTCTCGTTTTAAAATTAAAGAAACAATTTAAATACTATCGCCTAAAACTCTTCAAAAAATACCTCATAACAGGAACTGGATGACCCTGTGCATTGCAAGGAAGAGCAATTTCAGCATTTGTTTTTCGCATTAAAAGATTTATAGTAGCGTCACCAGAAAAAGCAGGGGCCTTACTTCCAACTGGCTCTAAAATAATTTTACGTAATATAGATGCAAGTGAAATAGAATGCTTTACCTAGTTACAGGGACAGGGCTACCCTGAGCTTCACAAAATATAACCACTGGTTGTCCTTGGAATCTCCGAATAGTGCGACTCAAGTCGTCTGAAGAGAATTTTGGTGATCTTGTACTAACTGGCTCTGGAATATATGAGTGCAATCTTGTTGCTTTATTTGAAGAAAATATAAGATTGCGTTTAAATGTGTTATAAGAGAGATAATATGAACCTAAATAAATCTAATATTTAATTTAAATTAAATTAAATAATAAATGTGTTTTGATTTGTGATGAAATGAAATATACTAGTAACCGAATTTTCCAATACATAGTTTTCAGAATCTATTTGTATGTACCCATTAAATAAGATCAGAAGCTAGTGATGTTGTGGAAGATCTACTTATCCCTGGCAATATTTTTTTTAATCCAATCAATGATTCCGTATAAAACAATATTTTGACTAAATAGCATCAATCTTTTACAAATATGAAACATCATTATCCTGAGAAGGGACGACAATAGTCACTGACAGTTTTTCTATCTAAAGGTGTGGAAATACTCCAGAGTGAGACGCACCGGATAATAGTTCCAATCTAATCTTCAACCATATTCCACACGTTCTGTCGATTATCGACATCTTATTTTTGTGTTACAGATTTGTGAATGATAAGTTTGTGTGATTGTTGGCTTATTAATATATACATTGTTATAAAATTAATCAAGAAGTATTAAGACTTTATTAAGTCATTTGAAAAGGTTGAGAAGATCTTCAGAAATATTGTAAGAAGATTCTAAATTAATAACTACCAGAGAATCACGTTTAATTATTTGCGATTACTCCACCTTTTCTTGTATCAAACGTATCATGCTAAAAATTCATTTATTATTAATTTCTCTGTCGACTAGCGTCCACGGTTTTATTAATTAAATAAAGTATAAAAATTCAGAAAAAATTGATTTAAGTATAATTAAATTTGAATCCCACACAGCTTAGACTTGACTGCATCAGGTGAGCAGTTGGCGACAAAATTTTATTAAAGAAAAAATTGTCTCAAACTAAATTAATCAAATAGACTTTAAAAATATTCTCATTCAAGATTAAAAAATATTCAGAACGTAAAAATTTTTAAAGAAGGGCTTTACTCTCACCTCGAAATAGGTACAGGAAAACCCTGCAATGGGCACATTAAATTAGCTGATTTACTTGATTGAACATCCACCCACTCAACCTTTCGATTGGTTGGTAGTTTTGGCCTCGTATTAGAAGTAGGTTCTAAAAATAAGATCCACATGCTACAAAATCTAACACCGCAAGAAACAAATATATCAAACTACAAACCGTGTAATGGGCACAGGGAACCCTTGAGCCGGACATGTTACTGTTATCTCCGAAGAACTAATTGTTGACTTTATTACTTTTATATCGAAGCTCATAAGTTTTGGTTTTGCACTGGAGACCGGCTCTATGAATGGGAAAAATTAAAAAAAAAATATCATATTTGTAATATGAAGTTTAAAGAATTTTAATTAATTGACTTTTAAATTAATTAATTATATAATTAATTAAAAATCCATTTATTAAAATGTTCAGTTTTAGGGGAAGGGTACCATTAATATACATTTTTTATCCCGCATAATAAAATTATTTAAATTCAAAGGATTATGTTAAAGTGACATGTACTTAGAAAACGGTATGTGGTACAACCTAACTTGATTCCTGATATAAATATCCAAATAAATTAAAACTGGTTTTATTTATTTCAAATAAGAGATTTTTAATTTATCTATCCACTAGGTTGGATGACACGAATTCTAAATTTATAAAAAATGGAGCACGAAACCTAGATTCCTCCTCCTGTCACCAGTAATTTTTAAAGAAATCAACAAACTGTTAAACAGCCTTGAAAAACCGCAACTCGGAATAAACGACCTAAATTAACGTAAATAAGGTTGTCGTCTTTTTTACTCTCAGATACATTCTTAATTTTTCAATTTGTATATCATTTGTATCTGCGTATCCGAACATTCTCAATTATTGAAGCTTTTGAAATCTATCATTCAGAAAGAGACAACTACTTGTTACATCAATGACATCTAATGAAAAGTATAGATCGTTCGATTTTGTTGTAATTCTGAGTTCAAATTTATATAGAATGAAAATAAGATTTAATACTTCGAATCAGGCATCCTATTACAAATAGAACTGATTGTTCTTATTTTACCTGAATGCTGGTACAGGAAATCCCTGTACGGGACAAAGTAGGGCTGTTGTTTGTAACAAGAAAGAAGTAGGACTTGTTGATTTGATGTCCATAGCAGTCATTTTTGGTTTTGTACTGGATACTGGTTCTGAATAATTTTAATAATACAAAATAAAAAAGTATAATACTGAAAATATCTACTTTTTTTTAAAGAAAATTAAAAATTAGTTCTCAATTATTAATAACTTACTTGAAGTGTGGGACTGGGTACGCCTGTGCGGCACAGAAAATTGGGAGACCCTGGTTTTCATTTATATCAAAAGTATGACTTTTATCAAGTGTGGAAAATTTAGGTCTCGTAAAACCAACGGGTTCTGTGAATAATAAAAATAATTTCAAAATAGATTCTTCAAATATAATATACTGAGACAGGGTAGTCATGAAAATGACTGGCAAAGAAGAAAAAACAAAGTTAAGGAGATGATTAATAAATTTTATCACAAAATTGGATTTCCGGTACTAACTTTTTCATTTTTTTGAAAAAATTCTTTTCTATGGAAAATTAAATTTACCTTATAATCTTCAATAAATGCTCCCAATTAATAATTTTAAAAAATTCAGGATTATAAGAATCCTAATAATAATTAAAACTAGTTAATAATTTGTATACTATTTTAACTTTAGTATCTGTCACCGGTAAGATATACGGTTTCTGACGTTTAATGTTTTTTTAATCACTAAAGTCCTCTGCTAATTGTTCCTATCTACAAACATTTAACTTTTAAACAAAAAGTTAATACGGATAAGTATATTTCCGTTTTTTAATGCAATCCTGCAAATTATACAATGAAAATGAATTATTTACAATTTCATTTTTTACCTCTGTGAAGGAACAGGAAATCCTTGAGCCGGACAAAGAAGTGTCATTGGTTCACTAAGCATTGTTCTAAAAGCTTGTAAATCAGCAAGTGATGGAAATTTTGGTCTTGCACTTCCAACTGGCTCTACAGATTTTAATAAAAGAAAAATAAGAAGGATATAATTAAGAATCCTCGAATAATCTAAATATAAATTGTTCTAAAAAAAATCTCATAACTAAATTTATAAGATCCATCCAATTAGGAATCTAATCTTTTATTTTAAAAATCATAGGATTTTAATTAATATGTTTCGTCGGTGACTACAATTTTTCTTAAACCTCTGTACCAATTGAACTTGGACTTTCAGATGGTATTTTTTAATTGTTCGTTCGTAAACGAAGGAATTTCAAATTGAACAAAATATTTTTTCGATTCATTTTGATTTCCTTTACAGAATTTTTTTCATTAATTATTTAATATTTAGATTTGGCAAGCCTCCTCACTACTGATGCTCCCTGGGGAGCAGGTATGGAAAAACTGACACTATAAGATCCATAGGACCAAAGCGGCGTTAAAAGAAGACCGAGTGCTCTTCCGGGAGGAGACGGTTACCATTGGCTTCCTTCGCCCGTGCAAGATTGAAAATATTGAGCGGGAGAAGGGAGACAAAGTCAATTAGCCAGTCGACACTGGTTAATTAATTAATAAATCCACTTATTTGTAGTGTCAATTATTGTTGTTGTTTAGGTTTATAATTATGTATTATATATTAATCAATTTTTAAAAGTGCTTAACGTACTCCTACTCTCGCGTTACGCAAATAGTCGTTATTAAATCTAATGAAATTTTGGCCCATACTATTCTAGACGCAAGTAAAGTGAGTAATTAACATTACTAAATTTAAAGTGAGCTGCAATTGGACAATGCAAAGGCAAAGGTTTCTGTGAATTTTGAAATTTCATGCTATTTTAAATATTTAAGAAGAAAAGTACTCTTTTCATTTTTAGAATTAACTCTTTTAAACAAAAAATTAATACGAACAGGTCTGTTTTTGTTTCGAATGAAACCTTGCAGATTATAGCAACAATGGAAATGAATTATTTACAATTTCATTTTTTACCTCTGTGAAGGAACAGGAAATCCTTGAGCAGGACAAAGAAGTGTCACTGGTTCACTAAGCATTGTTCTAAAAGCTTGTAAATCAACCACTGATGGAAATTTTGGTCTTGCACTTCCAACAGGCTCTACAGATTTTAATAAAAGAAAAATAAGAAGCATATAATTCAGGATGCTCTAATAGTCTTCATATAAATGCTAAAAAATCTTATAACTGAATTTATTAAATCGATCAAATTGAGAATCTAATCTTTTATAAATATAAATAAACTGATCGTTTATTTTGTAAATTTTAATAATTATTACCAATTGTAATTAAGGGTAAGTAAATTTTTCAATAATTATATTAATGTTTGGAATATAGGGGACCTGAATCTGAGACTATAAGTGGGTTGCTATTGTAATTCGTTTTATTTAAATCTGTTCACTCAATGGTTTTTCACTGATGCAATTTCTGATTTTAATTTGAAACATACTTTGATTTTTAAGGTATTGACAACCATTTCGCTACATACTACACTTTAGTCTACAACCCTGTTTTAAATGGCTGAATTTTGACTTAGCCGATTTCAATATTCCTAATTCCTTCGTTACCTTCCGATTAAAAGAATCTAAAGTCAATAAAGTAATCGAATCATTACAATCTACAGCAGGAGTTGATGAAATGCTCTCCTTCCTATTAAAAAATACCAACCCTTTTTTATCTGAATTCTGCTGCTCTATCTTCAACATAATTCTTGATTCCAGTTCTTTTTTAACTCAAATCTATAAGAATTGTTCCAGTCATTAAATCTGGTAATATTAAAGATACATCTTACTATAGATCTACATCCGTTATTTCTAATTTTGCGAAAACTTTCAAGTCTTGTTTACATTATCTCTTCAAATCATTTGACTAGCAGATGGAATGTTGTTTAAGGTAAAGGTTTTTCATCTGTTCCCTATCTTTCTTCGTCTGGCGTCCCAAACAAATTCGTACTAGGATCAATATTTCTTGCATTATACATTAATGACCTCATCCAATATCTAACAGTTGAAAATTTAATAATCCTCGACGATCTTAAACTTTTTTACAAAATTTCGCAACCAGAAAACGCAATCACTTTGCAAAATAATTTAAATAATTCTGTCATTTAGTTTAATGACAATAATTTGTTGCTAAATCCTGCGAAATGTAATGTTGTGTCAAAGTTCTCTATTCTTTAATCAGTTTTGATAAGTATAATTATTCAGTGGCATTACAAAATTTGTTTCTGATCCAATTAATTCCGACCTAAATCTAAATTTCTTTAGTAACCAAACAAAAAATTCTTTTGGAATCGATTCGTTTTATTCCGAAGCTGAATTTTAATTCTCTTAAAACCTGTTATTAAATTCCAAATCAATTCTTTTTATTCCGTTAAAATTCATCCATGAATCTTAACCTTTTTGATTTTTGTTATTGAATTTCGAATCCATACATTCCTATGTACATCAGATTAGTTTGCAATAACATACGTCAGGATTCAAAAGGATTAAAATCCCGCTTCGTAATGAATACAATTGATTCGGAAAGTATTTATTGTTTGATTACAAAAAAATTTAGATTTAGATGGAAACTGATTGGTTTGGAAACAAATTTCGAAATGCCACTGAATAATTATACTTATAAAAACTGATTGAATATTCATTCAAAACTTTCGTCAGGAAGGCTATTTTGGTATATATTTATATATACCTACAAAAAATACACCTAGCTACAATGAAAATGAATTATTTACAAATTCGTTTTTTACCTCTGTGAAGGAACAGGAAATCCTTGAGCAGGACAAAGAAGTGTCACTGGTTCACTAAGCATTACTCTAAAAGTTTGTGAATCAACCACTGATGGAAATTTTGGTCTTGCACTTCCAACAGGCTCTACAGATTTTAATAAAAGAAATAAAAAGTTTAAAATTCGGGATGTTCTAATAATCTTAATATAAATTGTACTTAAAAAATCTCATAACTTAATAAAATTGATCAAATTGGGAATCCAATCTTTTATTTTGTAAATCATAATAATCATTATCAATTTTAATTTAGGAGTTTTTATATTTTTCTATATCTACAATAACTTGATATAATATTAACAAATCTAAGGAGTAGCAAAGATAATTACCAGATGGTAAAAATTAATCTCGAACTGTTTTGTTGCTAATATGCATGATTTTGAAAATTTCTACTAATAAGAGCAGTAAATAAAAGCTTAGTTACGACCTGAATCCTAGACAATAGAAATGCAAGATCACTTTCCTTCATTTACCAACCCCGTTCCAATCTTAACTAATATTTTCAATTTAATTAAATTACGCGCTCCAGAAAATGTAATATTGGGTGTAGTAGTGTAATAATTTTTATGCATTTACATAAAAGTTAGGATGTAACAGTATCATTTGATGAAAACTGGAGCAATAACATATTTACATAATAAGATTTATTATTTTTCTCGAACGATTTTTAGCACTTTCTATATAATGCACATATGATCGATAAAATCCTATACCAAAAAAAATACCTGTTATTTACGTTTAAAATTATCGTAAACTATGCTAAATATATTTAAAAGTATATTTCTACTGACAACCTCGATAATAATTATTTTTTCAAAAATTAAGTAACGAATTTGATAATTATGAAATTGAACTCCATATTTTCTATCACGGACAACCTTCAAATAACATATTTAAAATTATGATTAAAAAAAATTTATGATTACAATGTGTGGGACACATTTAAGATTTCGAGATTCACTCTGGCGTTCTAAAACTATTAAAAAAACGTTAAAGTAACCATTCCTTTTTTTATTTTAATGCTTTAACGCGAATTTTCTCTAGCAATTGAGGATTTGTCCTAACTACGAAAAACATAGGAGATAATTTTTTTTTAAAACTTGGTCTTTTATTGAACGTTGTAAATACGGGTTTCTGATATGGCTGATTAAAAATCTGAAATCGGATTTCCAAAATACAAAATAGCAAATTGAATATGGCTAATGATTTCTGTAAAAAGAAGTTAGATTTCAATAAAAACTTGGCATCGAAGAGTTTTAAAGGTTGCAAATTACGAATTTGAATTCAAATTAAATCAATAAATAACTATTAAGCCTCGTGAAACACCGAATTATAGCTAATAATAGGAATTAATTATAAAA